TTTGGGCCCAATTCTTTTCCTTCTATACATCCGCCCCCGGCTCAGATCAAAGATTTCCCTGACATCTCTTACCATTCCTGATAACCTGCAGTTATACTGCTCTTTTAATGACTCAACTTTCTACAAACTAACCTCCCTCTTAAACTGTGTCTCTAAAACAACTGAATGGCTGTCAGACAACTTGTTACTCCTTAACTTCAATAAAACAGAGACCTTGATCCTTGCTCCCGACAACAAACACCAGGAGATAAAAGACCATCTCAGCTCTTTAAGTTCAACTGCCCGAAAACATGTGCGCAACCTAGGTGTTTACTTTGACTCAGGACTGTCTCTTGACAAACATGTAAATAATCTGGTCTCCACCCGCTACTTCCAACTTCGCAATATTTCGAATATGTTGTCCATTTCTGACCTGGAATTAGTAATTCATGCATTTTTCTCGACCCGCATAGATTATTGTAATAGCCTGTTCACCTGTCTGAACCAGAAACAGATAAATCGCCTTCAGCTCGTACAAAACTCTGCAGAAAGACTCTTAACCCAAACTTCAAAATTCTCACACATCTCCCCGATCCTTTCAGAGCTTCACTGGCTCCCTGTTCATTTTCAAATCGAGTTCAAAATCCTGGTCCTCACTTTCAGAGCTCTTCATGGCCAGTCGCCTGACTACATTAAAAGTCTCATCTCCCCCTACAACCCCAAACGCAGCCTACGCTCACAGGATCAACATCTCCTAATGGTTCCCCACACCCGTCTCAAGACCCGAGGTGACCGAGCCTTCTCCTCCATGGCCCCCAGGCTCTGGGATGAACTTCCTATCCACCTGCGCACGCTTGAACGCATTGATTCATTCAAGAAATATTTAAAAACACACCTTAAACAAGCTTTTAACTGACCAATTTCAGCATTTTTCTGCAGCCTGACCTTTTAGTGTCTGTTTCACCAAACCCTACCTACCGACCGTACAATTCATCATATTTGTATATGTCAAACAGCCAGTATTTTCAGCCCAAATCAGTTCAATTGATCAAAAATGTGTTTTTCTAAAATGTACCTACCTGTACTCCACAATCTACCCATTCGGAGACCTGCCTCCAAATTAATTTCTGACTTTAAAATCCTTCATCTTAATATGTTATTGTTTTACTCTGCCCTCCCCATTTTTGTCTAGATATTATTTGTTTTATTTTTCGGATTACACAGTCTTGATCCTTTGATGGTTGTACAGCTTTTATACTTTTTGTTCCAAATTTTTGTATATCCAGTTCTGATTGTAAATCTTTTGATTTCCATCTGATTGTACAGCACCTTGTGAATCTATTTCTATGAAAGGTGCTATCTAAATAAAACTTTACTTTACTTTACTTTACTTACTAAAATGGTTCGATCTACAGCCAGGTTTCTGTTAGCGGCCAACTTTAATTGGTTCGCCTCCAAACGGTTGAACATCCAACAGTTCTTTTGTTAGAGTTTCATTTTGTTCTGTGGTTCGTGAGATATTTTGCTAACAAACACATAGCGTCAATGACAAAGAACTTTAGCACAATCATCTGTAAAACTGTTTGAGTTAGAGCAAGTTTTCTGTTAGCTAAGGTGGCGGCCATCTTTAACTGGTCCAGCAGTTACTTTGAGAGTGTTTCATTAAGGTCGTATTCAGACCTGATAATTTGCTCCGCTTTAAACGAACCAGAGTTAGTTTCCAGCGTTGGTCCGGACCTTTTGTGCAGGTGTGAATACACTCATGCAAACTCTGGTGCGGATCAAACAACTGGACCGAGACCTGCTTTTTGAGGTGGTCTCGGTTCGTTTCCAAACAAACTCTGGTGCGGTTCACTTTAGTTTTCTTCTGGTGTGAATACAGACCGGACTCTAACCGAACCAACTGCATTAAACATGCACCTTTTTGGACTTCACAGGCCACCGTTGCTGAGCTAAATAAACTGAAAACTGTTTCGTCGTCTCCTGTTAGCAGCTCTACTGCCGGCATGTTGTGGGTCAGAACACGCACAGCACCTCGTCTCCTTTGGGATGCAGGACACATTTACCGACGCCGCTCCAAAATTAGAATATCATCACGGAACCACCATTAAATTAGCTGCTTCTGACATTTTAAATGCTATTGCAGTTGTAATATTAGCAAAAATGTGCGCATCAGAACCGCAGCATGCAGGACTTCCTTGTTTTTTTCTGGATCTGTGGCTCAGTCCCGCCCCCGTCCTTTTTTTTGTCCAATGGGAGCAATGATCGTCACACTCGTGGCTTTGTTTATAACTTATAGTTCATTTGCAAAAAAGCACAATGTGAATGCAAACCGCACGAAACGAAAAAAAAAAGTCCATTTTTGGTCCGGACCAAACAATTGGACCAAAAAGGACTTTCCTGGTCTGAATACACCCAGTGGCTCACAAGATATTTTACTGACACATGGGGGTAGATGTCGTAGTTGTGCAACTTGCAAGGCTCTGGGTGTGTTGAGGATGACTCTCAGCTACTAGCAAGAATTTGGTGATATATCATTGCCAATATTTTCTAATTTAAAAAAAGTAATTTATTAAAGTTTGGTATACAGCGGGGAAAATAAGTATTTAGTCAGTCACCAATTGTGCAAGTTCTCCCACTTAAAAAGATGAGAGAGGCCTGTAATTGACATCATAGGTAGATCTCAACTATGAGAGACAAAATGTGAAAAAAAATTGAGAAAATCATTTTGTCTGACTTTTAAAGAATTTTTTTGCAAATAATGGTGGAAAATAAGTATTTGGTCACTCACCAATTGTGCAAGTTCTCCCACTTAAAAAGATGAGAGAGGCCTTTAATTGACATCATAGGTAGATCTCAACTATTAGAGACAAAATGTGAAAAAAAATTGAGAAAATCATTTTGTCTGACTTTTAAATAATTTTTTTGCAAATCCATCCATCCATCCATC